AGAAAGAAAGAAAGAAAGAAAGAAAGAAAGAAAGAAAGAAAGAAAGAAAGAAAGAAAGAAAGAAAGAAAGAAAGAAAGAAAGAAAGAAAGAAAGAAAGAAAGAAAGAAAGAATGTAAACCCAGTGTTTCTGCCGATGGTGAAGATGAAGTCGTGGGATCGGCTGAAGTTTCTCAGCGCAGCTGAAATAAACGATGTGTTTCTGAAAGAGCTTAAAACAACAAACTCCATCCGTTCTCATCTGAGAACAAACGAGTATTAACCTTGGGTATGTAACTTATTCTGTATCTGCACATTTTCTGTAGACAGTGTAAAAAAAGTGTCTCTTTCCGCTTGTTTTGTGTTTGTGCCTTTTCTATCTCCAGACATCTCTGCTTCAGTGTTTTAGACAGGCTTTGATCAGACCCTTTCATCTGAGCATCAGATAAATGTTAAAACAAGACAAAGATCTTTCTATCTGCTTTTTCCCACCAAATCTCCCTCTCTCTTTCTTCTTGACTCATCTGTCCATCAGTCTAATTTTCACTTTATTCAGTTATCGCTGAGAAACACAAGGACTCTATTATCCACAGTCATATTCTCTGTGTCCTTGATGTTATCCATGTAATGCTCCGGACGAACTGGTAAAACCATAATTCTGTCATCATTGTGTTTAATGTCTGGCCAGAATCATCGGTCATATTCTGTTGTACGTGTTCAGTTGGGCGGCGGCTTGTTAAAGTCAACATGAAATCAAAACGGAGACTGTTAAACACTCTTAATACATGTTCTTATTGTGCATGATGTAAAGACCTGTTTTTATAGTACTTTATCAAAATGTTTCATCACAAACTTGCTCTGCCTCTGAAACAACTTTCAGTCGCTCTTATTTTTTAACCACTTGACACACTTTTCCACCGAACATCATTCAATCAAATCTCTTTAGGGCAAAAAAGAAGTCCTGCACTACATTGTCTAATAAATATCCTTTCATTCGGCACTGTTATTGTACCAAAACAATTAAAAATAGTTTTGCTAATTGAAATATAGCTGAAATAAAACACTAGATGAAAAACTTAAAAGGAAACTTGAAATGTTGCATTGACAACTAACTGAAATACAAGTTATAAAATAAAAAATAATAAATTAAATTTAAAAAATAATTAAAAAAAAAAAAAATAAAATTACAAAAACTAAAATTAAGCATTAAAATTATAAATACTATGAAAGAAAGAAAGAAAGAAAGTCATACAGCGACAAAGAAACCCAGTTCTAAACAGCACATAAAAACAAACTGTGGTTGGCCACTGTACATGTCAATCAGACGCTCTCTTCCTGTCTAAGTGGGCGGGTCTTGGCCAGAATAAGCTGCAAAGTCGACCAAACTTTCATGCCGATGGTTAAAAGTCTAGCTTCGTGAGACTGTGTGTGTGTGTGTGTGTGTGTGTGTGTGTGTG